TTTTCTCTCTCTCTCTCTCTTTCTCTCTCCCGTTCTCGCTCTTGTTCTGTCGCTCTCTCGCTCTTGTTCTCGTTCGTATTCCACCTCCCGTTTTAATTCTGGTTATCACTTTTATAAAACGTTTACTTAAAAAAAGACTTTGAACCCACAAAAAATACCACAAAAAACTTTCTTCTCTACAATAGACAACGAATTAAATGCGAAACATTAAACTGCTTCGAATTTCTTAATAACATTGCAGAGCCATGTTTTTCCCCTTTGCTCTTGACTTTCTGGGATCTTGGAGGGGATTATGGAATATACTATCTAGAGGCACTACTCTCAATAAAGAGTACGACATATAGCTTTTATACAAATAAACAATTTTCACAATATATTCCACTTTGTCTGAACTAAACTAATCCTTTTCTTCATATTAAAAATATTTTCCAAATATGTTTAATATAATCAAAAAATTGTGTAAAAATTATTAAATTTCTGAATGATCAACAATCTGAAATAATACTGATTATCTCGCACATTTTTTAGATACGTATAATAATATGATACTAAGAAATTATATATATATATATATCTAAATACAAATATTAATGATATTAATGATCTTTAAATAAGGTACGTACTAACATGCGTCTTAATAAGTATATGAATTTATGTTTATGCTACAGTGAAGAAGGAACTCCAACTTCTATGCGTTATATGTTTCATGATTTACAACTTGCGTTTCGCGTTGCGTTTTAAAGTGAGATAGCATTTAATTGTTGGTGAATTTTCCAAAACTTCTTCAAGATGGTAATCTTTCGTATATTAAACAATAGCTTCTAAGTTTATTTCTTTGTGTTTTTTCAATTTTAATTACTGTCATACTTGAATATTTTAAATCAATGGAAGATAGGAAGAAGAGGTTATGTTACTGTCAAATATATTAATGACATTGCACGTTTTCTAAACTATGAAGCAATTTAACTATATTATAAATGAAATTTACTTAATTAATTGGCTAAAAATTTCACATTAATTGTAATAAATTAGAAAATAAGATATATTAGTTAACTATCACAATTTTGTCTGTTTATAATTTTTTCAGAGTATTTTAGCCTACAATGGTGGAGCTATTATAGCAATGAAAGGCAAGAATTGTGTGGCAATAGCTGCCGATCGCAGATTTGGTATACAAGCACAAACAATAATGTGTAATTTTCAAAAGATTTTTGAAATGGGATCTCACTTGTATCTTAGTCTCCCTGGTCTTGCTACTGATACTCAAACTGTAATGGAAAAGTTACGATTTAGACTAAATCTTTATGAGTTGAAAGAAAATAGGAAGATACATCCTAAAACATTTGCGTCAATGGTATCAAACTTATTATATGAAAGAAGATTTGGACCTTATTTTGTGGAGCCTATCATTGCTGGATTAAGTCCAGTTACTTATGAACCATTTATTTGCAATATGGATTTGATAGGATGTATAAGCCCATCAAATGATTTTGTGGTTGGTGGAACATGTAGCGAACAGTTGTATGGAATGTGTGAATCACTTTATGAACCAGATATGGAACCAGACGATCTTTTTGAAACAATCAGTCAGGCATTGGTAAATGCATGCGATAGAGATGCAATATCTGGTTGGGGTGCTGTTGTATATGTAATGTAAGTTAGTCTGACCTTTATGTCTCTTTTTTAATTTCTTTTTAAAATACTAAAATATCAATCAATTTTTAATTATAGAGAAAAAGATAAAGTTACAGTCAGATCTATCAAAACGCGAATGGACTAAAACTTTAAAATTTTTGAATACATGTTTATGTACCAATATAAAATCTCTTATTCAGAGATATATATATATATTGTTTAAATAAATTAATAATTTTCAATAAACGAAAAATAAAATCCAAGTCTGTCAATTCTTATTTCCTATATTCCTATAATTATTGGTTTTTTCTAAAACTATTCATCGCTACGTTTTTTTTTTTAACTACATAAATAAGGTTATGTTTCCATTCGGTCAATGCTTCGAGTTTAATACGTAACATTTTAACAATTTGATTAGAATATACGTAAAATTATGTGTAAAAGTATATATTATACATAAAAAAAATTATAATGGCTATTAGTAGACTGTGTGCAGCATTTCGACAAATAACAATAAGCAGGGAAAGTATGTAAAATGTATAAATTTTTATATACAGTCTTATATTACGAAAAACATAACCTAGTATAAATAACATTATTATCATTTTAGGTAATATTATCACAAGATATTGTTCTTCCCATGTGTTAAAAGAATGTAATAATATTTTACATTTTTCTAACGTTTCTAAAAATGCATTTACTGTAGCACCTTTAATACCATATGCGCATGTTAAATTTATGCCAAAAACACTCAATATAGATTTTAGAAATCCAGACAATATTAGTAGAAAAAATATAAACGAAATACCATTATCAAAATATATACCGTCAATGGAAGAACCTTTAATAAAACAGCCTATTAAACAGGATTTACCATTAATAGATTCATCTTTTCAACTTCCTCCAACACAAAATACTTTAGAGAAATTAGCTATACGCTCGATAGTTATTAGAAGAAAAAAAATGAAGAAACATAAAAGAAAGAAACTGCGCAAAAAATTGAAGTTTGTGTGGGAAAAAATGAGAGCAAACCGTAATGTAGCAAAGGAGAAAGCATTTCAAGCGGAATTGCTTGCACAAATTAAACAAGCACACATGTTTGATGCTCAAAAATATGTTGAAGGAAGACTTGCCATTCTGGATAAAGAAATATTACCTGGATCATATAGAGGAGAAATATTACCCGCGGAAATGATTAAAAAATTTATACAACAACGAATACAAAAACGAATGAGAAAATATCGTAGACCACGTATAACGCTTGATTAAATGTGATTAAATGTTTGAATAGATAATTATTTTATTTTGATTTTTTCGCTATGTAGAAATTCCAAAATAAAATTTCAATATTTAAAAATTGAAAAATGCATTATACTTTTTAAACACATTCTTTTAACAGCATTAGGATCATAGAGGATCATAGAGAATATAATTACAAACTACATAATAAATATATTAAAAATGTTTCATTCAACTTGCAGTTTGCAGACCATATTTTTTTACAAATGTCTCTTATACATAACTTGTTAACTGCATGTCCTTTTCATCACATATATACAAATATTATAATACTATAAGAATAAATAGCACCTTTCGTTTTTATGTGTATAATGAAACATTTGTAAAGCTTGTATATACTTTGTCTTTTTTCTTTCCTTTTTCTTTATCGACGAATAAATTACATATCGTCAATAACTCTTACAAAAAATATATCGTATTGCTTATTCTTATTAAAAAAATTATTTAAATTACTTACATAATTAGTTAATAAATATACACTTGTTGAAAATTAAAATTATTTTACATAAAAATAAGAAATAAAATTAAGTCTATATGATTTAATTGATCTTAATCGATTTTCGAAGTCTTTTGATCACGTTGCTAGTTCCGATGTCTTATTGCAAGACGAATTTATAATACCATTTCTGTTGGTTAAATTAAAACTATTCTTTGATAATATACGAATTATAACTTTGATTAGTAGTAATAAAGCATAGCCATGTCTATGTCATTGTCCAGTGGAAGACAGATTCGTTAATTTACGTTTATTAAAATGTTAACTGTACGAGTAATTCAAGGCAATATTTGACCCTTCTTTACTTCTAGTACCTTTGGCTTATGTCTAATTATACTTCCCGTTCTCAAATCGTTGTTCCTTCCGGAGAAGTAATCTTCTATTTCTTGAAGAGTTTTACCCTTAGTTTCGGGAAGACATAGATAGAAATATATAGTGCCGAATAAAGATATACAGCCGTAAAGTATAAAAGTACCGTGCCGAGTAAGTGTGCTAGCTAAAAACGGGTACGTTTTAACTACTGTAAAGATAAACGAGTGGGCTGCCATTGTAGTTAAACCTCCGATAATACCACGTACTTGCGTTGGATATACTTCGCCTATCATTACCCAGGGAATAACAAGAAAACCGAGGGTGCAAGTTACAGTGTATGAAAATATACATAAAACAGGGAACCAAGTAGCGATAAATGGTAAATTGTTCACAGTCCAGTAGCTCTTCAGCCATAAATATCCACCTAATCCTATCATAGAAAGTCCACAACCAACAGAAGAGACCATCGTGAGAGGTCTTCGTCCAGATCTTCTACACAAGACACTAGCGACAATGGTCGATGCTAATCTAACTATCCCGAGAATCACCGCAGCTAAGTACTTGTTTAATGTTGTCCCTGAATCTTGAAAAATTTCAACGGCATAGAAAGTTATGACATTTGTGCCCGACCATTGGTATATTAAAAAGTACAAAAACAGCAGAGTGAACGGTTTGACAGCGTTAGGCTTTAAAAGAGCGTCGAGTATCTCGCGAAATCCAGTCAATCGCTTGAGATTGTTCTTATTCGAGAAATTGATGAGCGTCTCCATTTCCTGATTGATGTTATACGCATTGCCACGAAACTGTTGGAGCGCTTCTCGCGCCTTCTCAGGCCTGCTACGTGATATCAGATACGACGGCGTTTCAGGAAATAGAAACATCAACAGTAGTGCGGCAAGGGGCAAAATTCCACTAATAGCTGCACAGACGTTCCATGTAAGTACGCTTCCTAATAAATACTCGATTAGAACACCGGTGCTGACTCCGATACTTGCAAAAGCGGTCAACATCCCCCGTAAATGGGGTTGAGTCACTTCCCCTGTGTAAACGCGTGCTGGAGCACCAACCATGCCAGATCCAAGTCCCACGAAGAATCGTCCAGCGTATATCATACGAATGTCGGTTGCAAATGCAATTAATATCCATCCAAGTAGTGCAGGAATCTCCGTAATGATAAGAGATCGTTTTCTTCCAAGTACATCCATCATGTATCCAGACACCAAGCATCCGATGGGAGTTCCAATAGAAGACATACTAGCTGCAGAGAAAATATAATTCATTATAATTACTTTACGATTTAATAGAAATTAATTAGTAATAAATTGAATAATATTTAACGATTTTACGATTTTTAGTTAAATAATATTAATTTACCAATCCATGATTCTTCGGATGAACCTTCGACGATGGGAATCGTGCTATTTGGTTCTTGAAGCTGTGGCAGAGCGATGGCGGAAAAACCAAAGGTCATACCAGTGTTGATGGTCCCAAGTTGTGCTACCACCGCTGCCAAAACTTGTCTGACAACACTTCCATTAATATTTCCACCATTTTCTGGATCGCTGTGTGCATTGTTCGTCGCTAGCATTGGTTTTTCATCTTCCAGATGATTGGATGACTGGATTTTTGGAAGTATCTTCGACTCCACCAAGGACGATTTGTCTGAGTTTTGGATATCACCATTTTTCCTGTCACAAATAATTGATTTTGTATTAATATTCGATTTGTTGAAGATTTATGTAAGATATAATATAACGTACAAATCATAAATACTAAAGAAAATTCTTTTTATTTAAATTTTTATTGTAAAATTTCTATAAATATAATAACAATAATTATAAAATTCTTATAAGTTACAATAATATCTAATTTCTATAGCAAATGACTATGATAAAAAGAATCATAATTAATTTGTATTTGAAAATATTTGAGTCAATTTAAAATATAACTTGTGGTTTGTACTTTTCTGTATAACACTTATATCAGTCTAGTTATTTATCTATGGCTGAGAGATAATTATTTTTACTCGATATAGATAAAGTATCACATGTGAGGCTACGTGTCAATATTTACTTGAAAATTATTTAAAAAAAAAAAACGTTTATTTATAAAAGATGTACAGATACTCATTGAGAGTTAATCTTTTCTGTATTAATGAATTCTCGTTATCGCAGATAACGATGCACACATGGTAAGTAGTTAACGCTCGGAGATAACTCGAAAAATTTGGCACTGATTTTATGCTACCGAAATAAAATTCGACCCAAATCCCACATGCACCTCGAAATCGATTTATAAATTATTTCTACGAACACCATGTAATTTAACGAAATTTACTAAAGTACTGCTTGTTAACAGAATTATAGCTAATAACATGTAATATGTACATGGCTAATGTCTTATTATCTATTTTTACATTATTAAAAGCTACAGTGATCGACTCCATAAATTAAAAAGCACAGAAAAATGATTTATTTGATTTTATTTGAATTTAGACATTTTATTAGTTATTTAATTAAATATTTATAAGTTTTTTAATTTGTAATTTAATTTTATTTTAGACAATACAAATATTTACCAATATTTGTATTATTTCTTTACAATGAACAAACTTACAAAAATAAATCGTTTCTTAGTGAAAAATCAATACTAATATGTTGAATTATTATTATTATTAATTGAACGTTAATATTAATGTATTAAATAAAAATGGGACCGATCAGTTTATCTTTCGAGAGTCTTGGAAATTGACTTGTGAACGAACTTAAAGGAGTAGGTCAATATAATTACGGCCATTAAATCGAGAGAATGACAGGATTAACAAAGAGAACTTTGTAACGTGTGTGTTGTCACGAGTGGCACGCGCTGGCACAAATGTATCTTCTTTGTTTGACCATTTCTAGAATATCGGAAAGCATGGTGAGACAATTGTTCAAAGCTCAGGAACCAGCATTAACGCGAGGTACTGATAAGAAAACTTCGAAACTAAAAACACTTATAAAAACAAAATATATTAATAGATGAAAAAAAAAAAAAAATTTAAAAGCAAACAGAACGAGATGAATTATTCGAAATTTAATAAAATGGACAAGAACAAGATTACAAAAACAACGAATAGAGAAAATTGATTAAAAAATCTAATTAAATAATCGTAATATAGTATAATATTACAGACAAATACTTCGAATTATTAAATTATTAAATATTTAATCTTAAAAACTTCCTTTGGTCCACTTTGTATTTTCAATGTTTACCTCAGAAATTTGAAGATTTCACTTCAGAATCAAAAATATTCTTATCATTGTGGCTTTTATCATTTATACTGCTGTTATCGTTGTATGCAAGCTGCTACGTAGATTATGCATGGATACAGCGTGTTAATGTATCATTCAATTCGCCAAATTAACATATTGCAAATTAACAATTTTGCATTGGAAAAATATTCTTGTCAAATGCACGAATACTTTATTATACATGCTAAAATACCAAGAACGAGTTGGAAAATTATTATTCAAAGAAAATTTATATGACAAGCGAGAGTCGAATGTTACTCTACACTCTATGCGACTTCCAATGCAACGAAGAACTGATATCGCTAGTAAAAATGGTCGCCTAGCCTTCCTTTTTTACATTTTTTCCCATAATTTTGCAATGTTAATGATTTGAAAGATTTTTCACATTTGTATGTCTGTGTGAAACAAGCGTCGACGATTGTTTAGTGTAACGCGAATGATACAACGATAAGTATGGTTGCAATGTAAATAAATATCACTGCTTTCACATGCAGATTCGTTATTAATAAAACACAGCTGGATGCAACACGTTTATCATCTACTCGTGATTGAATATCGTGCATTTTAGTACGCACGTTTATAACGTCGATTCAAGCATCGTGTTTATTCTTGTACGGAAACAACGATCACTATGTCGGAGGAATCATTGTGAAGTATATGAATTGTGTCCCAACAAAGATTTAGATTACTCTTTACTCATACAAATATTATAGGCATTTGTCTATAATTATAAATATTTGTATTACGATGAAATTTCATATCTTGCACAAAAGAACAAAATCTGAAATAAATATCCAGATTGATTAAACAACTGAAGGAGCTCGTGATTGAATATCCTTAACCCGAATATCCGAACATCAGACAATAAGCCATACGCGAGGAAAGACTACTAAAAGAAGCACAACCAAAAAGAGAGCGTGTAAACCCATGGACGATCATTCAAACCTGGCCTTGATGTTCATTCGCGGTCGTAT